CCTACCAGTAAGTACACTACCGCCGGCATAGCTCTCGAGGTCTCAGGAGCACTCGAACCCCACCATCACGATGAGGTGTAGACACCATAGGTGGGGACACGAAGTGGTATAGTACCTGATAATCTTACCCATAGTTTTAGGATAAATAATTAAAATAACAAGCATTGTCGCCATCTTGAAAGAAGGCAAAAGCATTACTCTGTATTTATTTAATTTTTTTGTTACCTAGAGATGTTACGTCCTCAGAGATGAGACTCTCGTGTTCATTGCATTTTTATTCCACTCCTGCACAGTAGTTCCGCGAAGCTGGTCAGACGGTTTCTGTCTGTCCTGTGGTCAGTCAGTCCTTTTATTGCATTGATAAGAGAATGTTCTTTAATGACAGGCTTATGAAAATTAATTGTATTAAAATGAGATGGAATTGTTTTGAATGCCTCCCAAGTACGTAAATATTCGCGTAAAATTGGATGAGACAATGTCTGTGGCGTTTATAAATATTTATGGGCAATTTCATTAGAGGCCATTGTTCTGGTACGGCGCCTTTTCTAATTAGTCTGTTACGTAATCCAGCGTGTGGTGCTTTGGGAAAGCTACGAGATACGAAGTTGCTGAGCTGACAACTGAAGAATGAAAGCAGTACACATAACAAGTGAACTATACAACCAGAAACAAGAGGAGGAACTTTACACGTTGTTAAATACAAATCAGTGGCAGAAGGGCTAATGAGGAACTTCATATTTGTTTCCTTGCTGTTCGCCAAATATTACAGAGCTGATGAAATCAAGGGCAATGCGATGTGGCAGGTTAGAGAAGCATACAGAAGCTAAGTGGGAGGAACCCGAACGGAATAGACAATTTGGNTGATGGTGACGACGACGATGATGATGATGATGACGACGATGATGGTGATGACGACGATGATGATGACGACGATGGTGATGATGATTGTGATGGTGACGACGACGACCATGATGGTGATGACGATGGTGATGATGATGATGACGACGCTGGTGGTGATGACGATGATAGTGATGATGACGACGATGGTGATGATGATGATGGTGACGACGACGGTGATGGTGATGACGATGATGATGATGACGACGATGGTGATGATGATTGTGATGGTGACGACGACGACCATGATGGTGATGACGATGGTGATGATGATGATGACGACGCTGGTGGTGATGACGATGATAGTGATGATGACGACGATGGTGATGATGATGATGATGGTGACGACGACGGTGATGGTGATGACGACGATGATGATGATGACGACGATGATGATGATGACGACGATGGTGATGATGATTGTGATGGTGACGACGACGACCATGATGGTGATGACGACGACGACGATGATGATGATTACGACGACGATGGTGATGACAATGACGACGACAAGTACTACAACAATAACAGCAGTCACAATTTCAGTTCAATTTTTATTTCTCTTTATGGGATGCATCCTGTTGCGTCATCAGCTAATCAATTATTATGTTCCCTCTAACTCAACACACAGAATGTATAATATTCAGTTTGTCTTTTAAAATCACAACATGTTTCGACTATTTAGCTGGTCATCATCAGCTGAATACAAATGCTTAAGAAGTGCTCTATTGAATTGCAGTAGCTTTACATCTCATATGGGCGCATATTTACAATGATATTTGTTTGGTGTCAGTATTGACATAAATAAAATCTACATATAAAAATGAAGTTGGTGTGTTTAATTAAGTAAAATTGAGCAACCCTGGAATTAACTAGGGTGAATGAGTCTGGAGCTACAAGGGTATGAACACTTATTCCGCTTGTTGCTGGGTGTTGGGTGTCGAAGGTGATAAACGTGTGACGCTTAAGAGTGGACTGATGGATGTTAGCTAGCCTAACTAGGCTATGGTCCTTACCCTTGAACTGTATAGCTATACAGCTAGCAGAGGAACGCTCGCGTTGGAAGAAGTTACCTAAAAGCGCAGTGGAGACGGAGACTGAGGACTTTATTCTTTTGTGACAGTCTTCTGAAAAGTGCAGTCCGAGGCCAGTAAATCCGATTGCTAACCGAAACCCCCTGTATAGTCGCTCTATCACGTGAGAACACAAAACCTACAGACCAAGGCGCTATATATTTGATTATATTTATTATTATTATTATTATTATTATTATTATTATTATTATTTACATACAACTTAACAGCACAGAGGCCAATTAAAAGGTTAGCATGAGTACATAGAATTTCATAAACATAATTAAAAAACAAATACAAAATTTGAGAGTCTACATAATGACAATAGATTAATAATAATGCCAAGAAAAATT